ACATGTCAGGCTCCAAGCTACATTTACACCTAGCGTGGAATGAACGTGGTTTGTATTCATATGGCTTTCAGACAGATCCTGTGTGGCGTGTCTCTGGAACTGTGTGTATGGAGAGGAGCTGGTAAACAAAAGCCACAGTCGTCTTCTCAAACCATAATACACAATGGAATGATATCCCGGTCAATAACAAACTAAGCCGATAAAATGATGCAAGTTTTATTTAGAAAAATTCTGGATGCACATTGCTGGCATCATTTCGCTTCCTGTCTGGCTCATGTGATTTCTTCAATTTCATGATGATCTGTATGTGGCGTCCATAAAAAAAAATCACCCGTATCTGCTCTGCTCAAGCACTGGTGTGAATACTTTGAATGGACTAATTGATTTTCAGTCTTTGTGGAAGTCAGATAAACTCTGGTCCGCATCTGTTACACACTCGATGAATGAGGCTTCACTTGGTTAACATTGGAGCAATAACAAAGTGATAGAGGAAAAACAAACACAACTTGATGATTCTGAAGACATGTTTCAGAAAAATATCCTGAAGACTGATCAGATTAAACTGGAACTTTGTAGAAGAAGTGGTTCCCGTTAAAATTGGTGTGGTATTGTAATGGTCTGAGGCTGCTTTGCTGCTTCTTCTTCCGGCTCTTGGCGGGTGCAGACGGTTTTTTCCTCCTCTCCTCCATATCTTATCCTCAAGGCCTTTGTCTGACTCTGTGTGCTGGGTGCACGGCTGCTTCTGCATTTTTCTGGAAACTGAAATACATTTAAATGGATCTCGTTAGCTGGTCTCTCAACGTGATTGATAAAATGTTTTCAGTGATGAGAATGGGAGAAGGGGCTCCCGGATGTCTTGCCGGTACAGACCCAGTTGGACACGTCATGGGCTCCTGGAAATAGTGGAACTTAGTCTGTCTTTGTCAGTTGCCTGTGGAGGACTCTGAAGACATGTGGATATTCGTGGTATTGGTGTCAGGTTTCCTGCTCATTGACCTTGGAGGCTACCTGGCTTACTGGAAAATTAACGAGCTGTCGAGAAATATTGGCCTGATCCCCGAGCTCAGAGATGGTTTGCACTGTGCTGTGAATTCACAGACTCAAATAATTGTCGAGATGAATCGTAAGCTTGGGACTTTGGCGGAGATTCATTCTTTGGCACAAAGGATGGATGCCATCAAGGAGAGAGTGGACAAATCAGCACAGATTGGGATAGATTAACGTCCATTATTGGGATTCTGAGAGGATGAGGACCAACAAACTGTAAGACAGAGAGGATGTTATCTCTGTCTGGCCCCAAAACAAATTCTAATCGGAATCTGGCATCCTTGAGCCTGCAAGGCTCCAACAAAAACTCCCCCCTCAGAAGATATGTGGAATGTGCCGTCGCTATGGCAACTCAACTCTGCCTCCTTTCCCAGCCTGGGCGGGACTGCGGGAAAGCCGCCGAAGCGTCCAGGGTCACTGCAACCCTCCAACCCTCAATGCTCCCCCCGCATCCACACTGAGGTGACATGCGCTGCTTATCGTGGCTGCAGGAACTGAAGTTGGGATAGTCCCAACCCACCACCCCTCCTAGTGGACACTTATGTTGTGTTGTCTGAAGTCTGTTGCATATCTCTGTCTGAGGTGTTTTTTTGCAGCGCAAAGCTGCCCTCCTGGTGGGAGGGTAACTTTGAAGTGCCTTTTTTCCCTCCACCTGAACCAATCCTCATGTAACCCCTCTTATCTCTATTAAGGTAGCGCGACTCAGGGTTGCGAATGACCACAGTCACCAATTCTTGTCATGTGTTTTGACCATGTATGTCTGATCTCTGAATTGTGTGTACTGAAACTCTAATTTCCCTCTGGGATTAATAAAGTATCTTTGAATTGATTTGATTGAGGACTGCAAATTCTGTCCTTTTCACGATCTGCTCCTGCCTCCCTCTGACTGTGACTCTCCCCTGCCTCCTGATTAGTTTTATTGGTCTCACCTGCCCGTTGCTAACCTGCCCATGTGTTCCTGATTTTCCCTGTGTATTCATACCACCCGTCTTGTATGTGTGAGTGTCGGATCATTGTTTGTTTGTCGTGTTGTGACTTGTTTCCTGCCGTATCCTGTCATTAAATCCATTTTTATTTTTATCCGTGCCTGCATTCCTGCCTCCTGGTCAGCTCCACCACACATGGTCTGCCGCCACCCTCACCACTTCATGAAAGAATGATCCGACCAACCTGGACCTGTGGTGAGCTCTAGTCATCTGCCTGGAGGATTATTTTTTGCTTTGTCTCCTTTTCAGCAGAGGGAGATTTTGACTTGAGGGGTTTTGACGCATCCTACCTGTTCTCGGGGTGGTCAAAATCATTCTCCTTTCCTGCTGTTTCGCCCCGTCCCGTTTTCCCACAGAAGCTGTGGATCCTGGAGTTTTGGTGAGGTAAAACCCCCTATGCACGCCAACATTCTTCGGGGTGGTAGGGCTGGTCTTCCCGCTCCATTTCTGCTTCCCTTCACCCGAGCATCCGCCTATGGACCCAGTTGGATCCTTATGTACATCTGCTTTGACCATATTGTCAAGTACCTGCCGCCAATCCTGGTTTCCTCGCGTCGCTCCTTCATTTCATCACATCAGCTTCCTGGTCCACGCCTGTGGGGCCTACGCATGCAGGTCCTCCGCGCTGCAGCCTCAACAGGGTCCCGCCGCTGCAGCCTCTACAGGGTCCCGCGCCTGCTGCAGCCTCTTCAGGGTCCCGCGTCTGCTGCAGTCTCTCAAGTTTCTCAAGTTCCAGTGTCCCGCGCCTGCTGCTGTCGAGTTCCAGTGTCCCACGCCTGCTGCTGTCGAGTTCCGGTGTCCCGCACCTGCTGCTGTCGAGTTCCAGTGTCCCGCGCCTGCTGCTGTCGAGTTCCAGTGTCCCAAGTTCCAGAGTTCCAGTGTCCCCAGTTCCCGAGTTCCAGTGTACCAAGTTCCCAAGTTCCAGTGTCCCGAGTTCAAGTGTCTCCCCGAGTCTCCAGTGTGTGTTCCCGAGTCTCCTGAGTTATGTGGGTTTTGTGGGTGTCTGGTATCCCCCCTTGGGGGGGGGGTACTGTCACGATCTGCTCCTGCCTCCCACCGAATGTGACTCTCCCCTACCTCCTGATTAGTTTTATTAGTCTCACCTGCCCCTTGTTAACCTGCCCATGTGTTCCTTATTTTCCCTGTGTATTTATACCTCCCGTCTTGTATGTGATTGTCGGAGCATAGTTTGTCGTGTTGTGACTTGTTTCCTGACGGACCCTGTCATTAAATCCATTTTTATTTTTATCCGTGCCTGCATTCTTGCCTCCTGGTCAGCTCCACCACACATGGCCCGCCGCCACCCTCACCACTTCATGACAGTCCTCTACTAAAAAATCTGAAAGAGAATGTCTGAACTAGCAGGTAGAGCATATTTTCCTTCTGCAAGTGTTACCAGTTATCAATTTTAAACTGCCATCACTTTTTCCAGGCTATTTGGTTTTCATTTGGTAAATTAAATCAACTGTATTTTGGTTATCATGTTATCTTAGTCTGAGCAGGTGAATGTAGTTGCGTGTTTTATAGCTTTTAGTGGTACTGTTAGAGTTTTTGATGACTATTCTTAACTGCTTATACCATTTCTAAATGGTTTTATGTGAAGAAAGTTCAGTATTTTGGGTGTCCCTTGGATCGTTAAAAGTGCTAAAGCTGCTGCTGCTGCTGCTGCGGTGGTCTGTGAGAAAAAGGCAAATACTTTTTCATCCAACATCGCCCTTAAAATAGCTGTGAAATACACAGCCTTAAGTAAAGCATATTTAATTCTTTTCCAGGCTTTTTTTTGCGTCTCTCAGGTAGTTAAATAAAGAATTAGAGGAATAATTGAAATATTTGAGAACCAGGGGCCTCATTTATCAGGCTTGCTTACGCACAAAACGGGATCGGAAAACTGCGTTAGCAACTTTCCACGGAAACTTTGGGATTTATAAAAAAAAACTTAGCGGAAAAATGTGCGCGACTTTAAGCTGACTAAGGACCTGGCTTACACACATTTTGGACATAGAAAGCACCTGTAGTGCTGCTGCTGAGAAGGATAAAATCATGAAATCCTGCAGCATTATCACATGTACTGCTTCATTTTCACACAGAACAAGACCCCCCACACACACACATGCGCGTACACACACATGTGCGCACACTCACACACACACGCGTGCGTGCGCGCACACACACACACACATAGCCTGAAGCGCAGAATACGGACAGGTGGACAGATTGAGACAGAATGTCATGTGTCTGTGACAGTGTGTGTCCTGTCACTGTGACTTGATTAATCATGTGCCCTGGCTACTTGTACAGGGGAGATCTCTGGCTGACTGGTTAGCATGTGTGACTTTCACCCGAGAGTCTGGGAATCGAATCTCGATTGGACCATTTTTTTTATATCCGCCACAGATCTCTGAAGAATCCACAACATTGACGGCTTCAGCAACACTTTGGCTTTTCTCTTATTTATTTTGCAAAAGCACTTCCTTTAATTTCTCCACCACACCCACAGGTACCTCAGTTTTTGCTTCTGTGAAATTGTGCTTCCTTGATCTGCCTTGATCTACGATCACCATGTCATTGGCGGAGCGCTACAACAGCCGGCTTATGTATATGCATGAGATCCACAAGGTGCTTTGCATTGATTATTTATGGCAGTAAGTGGGCGTGGTGATGGTGGGATGTGACTAAAATGTAGCTGAGAAACATTCTCATTAGTTTCTGGTTTATGAAGCGTAGATTGCGTGCAGCTGTGCATACTCCATGTTTGATAGATCACAAACCCAATTGACGTAAGTACATTTTTTATTTATTTTTTGCTGAGCTTAAGTATGGTTTTAGTAAAGATTCTACGCAATGTTTGATAAATGAGACCCCTGGCCTCTTTGCCACCTAAGGTTACAGTAACGATGATGGCATCCCCAACATATTAGATGAAAATAATGAGTCATTAAAAATCTGAGACACAGTAAAACCAAAAGCTGTTTTCCAACCTTTATTACAAAAATATAGTCTTTGAAAAAGACACTACAAAAACATCAGCACAAACCTAATACACAACAATTTCAAAGACAAACCAATAGCACATAATAGCCAAGTATTTTTCACTGTGCTTTCAATGAATCACAACAGTTAATTATTTAAAATCTTGATAAGTGGTGTACTGATAGTTATCTGGAATGACTTACTGTAAATAAGGAAAGACCAGATTTTGTACACTTTCTATTGGAAAGTTGCACATTTGCCCCTATGAAGAGATGCATGAACACAAAGAATGCATCCATTTTCCACTTCCTGATCATTGTGTTTGAGAAGTGGGTGGATCTTTAGAACATAGCCTATTTTCTTTTACTGCAAATGTGGAGATCAACCAAAAGCCTCAGTGTTACCCAACAAGCATAAGAACTGATTCATTTTCAAGTTTTGCCCCACCTGCATTATTGTTTGTCATATGGCACAACATACTACAATTCTCTCAAATCTCAAATGTTTTCATAATAAAAGGCCAGCAAAAGAGACAGATCAAGCTCATCCAAGAGACACAATGGGTTTGTTTACTTCTCGTCTGATCAACAAAACCAACTGGATTATTTTTATTTAACAGTGGGGATATTTGGTTAGCTGGTGAAACCATTATGAAACCAGCAGCAGGAGAAAATTGGTTCTGCTACCAACCCCCCTTGATAAAACCTCACTCACAAAAAACAGATTTCTAGGATGTTCTTGTGTCTTAAAAACTTTTAGGATGTTAGTGCAATCTTTTGATTATACGAACCCAATCATTGATGCATGTAATAAGTATTTGTTTTTCCTCATAATACATTAGGTACTGCAGACTGAAAACTTTAAGTTATTGACTGAAGCATGGATCTTTGTCTGAAAGTTTATTTCAAGCCTTTCTGTCTGAAACAGTTGCTATTCAGAATCAAAAAAAGGGTAAATGTCTAAAACAACAGATCAAAACCCACCCGTAGCTAGGATTACACTCTAGGTGAATTCACTTTAGAATAATTTAACAAAAACTATATATATTTTTGCAATCTGTTAAAATTAAAGGTTCAGTAAGAAGTTGGTTTATCAAGACTGAGGAAGCGTGACCAGAGTGACAAGCTGACAGAAAATGGATTGCTGTCATCTGAAAACAAAACCATCACAGCGATTCATGTAAATTACATTTTGTGAGTTTTCGCATTAATGTTTATTTCCCGATACATGGTTAATCAAGCTGAAGTTTAATTATAGTCCTACAGGAAGTGCCCCAGGCAGCACTGGAGACAGCTGCTCTTGTTTGAGATAAAAACTTACTTGGTGACATGATGAATAATAGTGTTGGCATGAAACATTTTAAGGTCGGAAATAGTTGTAGAAATCAGAGTTAAGTGGTTTTTTTTAAACCAGCCCTGCCTCAGTTACAGAGGAAACCAGTTGATGTGCTGCATAGGGGTTTACTGTCTTTGTGAAAAAGGTATAAAACACTTCAAACTGGGGCTCTTAAAAAATCCAATAGTTTGATTTGAAAAATGACAAAAATAAATAGAACATGCTGCTTGGTTAGGGACATTTTTTCACCATTCACAATCAAATAGCAGAAATCATAATGCCAGCTGCTAAGAATAAATCCCCCAGGATATATTTCAGAGCTGAACTGTGCATACTGGCAATGTCAATACCTGTTTTACATTTTTCCACTTAACAGTGGTAGAGCAATTCTCCATTTCCAGATACAAGGACAAACTATCAGATGTTTGTTGACATCTATGTGGATCATTTCACAAAAATGAAATGATAAAACAAGTCTGGGTTTATTCTTCTGCCCCATCAGATGCCTGCCAAACCCTGTGTTTACATCCTGAAGGTGTGACGTTGTGCCATACACAAGAAAACATCAACGCTTACATAGCTTTAATTGTCTCAAAAATATTACCAACTCTTTGTGCTTGGCTGTCAAATTATATGACAAGGGAAGCATTGACAATATAAAGTAATATAACCTGCATCAAGAAACACAATTAGTACATTGTAAATAATAAAACAAAACAAAAACAAAAAGCAAGTCACCTAGAAAATTTTAGTCAAACAAAAGAGTTACAAATTCCTCGTAAAGTGCAAATTAAACTAGTTCCAACATACACATTGTCTGACATTCTTCTTATTGCCTGTAGACATTGTTGGCAGAGTGTATTTAGAAAGTTGGAGCACAATTAGGGCGATTAACAGGAAAGGAAACAACGGTGCTTACAGGAGGCGAGGCACTTATAAGAGTATATTAATCACCAATTGTCCATGCCCCACACATAGGTTTTATAGTTGGAAATCAAATGGGAAAGGTTGGTTGTCCAACAGCTGATTGTGAAATTGACATACCTTACATACTGGAAACTTGCTGGTTATTAACTGAAGCACCCAACAGCTATTTCATTTTCTGAACATACAGGTTTTCCTCTTACCCCTCTGCAACATGAAGTCAATCTGCATAGCCACATTAGTCTACATGTCTGGGTTTACTGCATTTGTTGCACTTTTACTAATACCATTAACTAAGTACTAACTTACTACTGACATCTAAAAAAATTGTAGAAAACCCATTCATTGGTTTAAAAACAAAGACACAAAACAGATGTTTAAATGCTTTTGTTTTCTTTATAGTTAAAAGTACAATATAGCATCCATCCATTCTGGTCCGTGTATCTGGAGTTGGGTCGTGGGGGCAGCAGCCTAAGCAGAGGCCCAGACTTCCCTCTCTCCAGCCACTTGGGCCAGCTCCTGCGGGGGAAATGTAAGGCAGTCCCTGGCCAGCTGAGAGACATAGTCCCTCCATTGTGTCCTGGGTCTTCCTTTGGGTGTCCTCCTGGTTGGACATGTCCAGAAAACTTCACCAGGGAGGCATTCTAACCAGATGCCTGAGCCACCTCTACTGGCTCCTCTCAATGTGGAGAAGCAGTAGGTCTATATCTGAGCTCCTCCCAGATGACTAAACTTCTCACCCCATCTCTAAGGGACAGCCAAGACACCCCGCAGAGAAAACTAATTTGGGCCGCTTAGATTCGAGTTCTCGTTCTTTCGGGCAATCCCCAAAAGCTCATGACCAAATATGAGGGTAGTAACGTAGATCGACAGGTAAATCGAGAGCTTTGCCGTCCGGCTCAGATCTCTCTTCACCATGACAGATCGGTACAATGCCCACATCACTGCAGACGCAGCACCAATCCGCCGTCAATCTCCTGATCCATCTTTCCCTCGCTCATGAACAAGACCCTGAGAAACTTAAACTCCTCCACTTGGGGCAGGACCTTGTCCCAGACATGGAGAAGGCATTTTACCCTTTTTCCAACTCAAGACCATGGCCTTGGATTCAGAGGAGCTGATTCTCGTCCCAGCTGCTTCACACTTGAATTTCACACTGCGAACCACTCCAGCAAAAGCTGGAGATCACGTTCTGATGAAGCCACATCATCTGCAAATAGCAGAGACTCACTCCTTAGGCCACCAAAACAGATCCCCTCACCACATTGGCTGCACCTAGAAATCCTGTCCATATAAGTTATGAACAGAATCGTGACAAAGGGCAGCCTCGGTGGAGCCTGACTTACTGACGGAAATGCGGACCAAGCTCTGACACCGGTTGTACAGTGACCTAACAGCCCGTATCAAGGGGCCTGGTACCCCATACTCCTAGAGTACCCCCCACAGGGCCCCCCGAGGGATGTGGTCAAACGCCTTCTCCAAATCCACAAAACACATGTAGACTGGTTGGCCAAACTCCCACGCACCACCCAGGACCCCTTAAGGATATAGAGCTGGTCCAGTGTTCCACGACCAGGATGAAAACCACATTTCTTCTCCTGATTCAAATCCCAAATTATAAATGCAGACTAAAGAGACTAATGCAGATCTTAGAAAAGAAACTTGTCCTCAGAACATTTTCAGTCTTGAAAGTGCAAACCCTTATAGAATTTTGGATGTGATCAATTGTACTTAAACCAATCAACCGTATAAAATATTTACAGCAGGTTAGAGAGTAATCGGAGCAAGAAAACACCTGTAAGTGACTCTTGTTGACCTGCTAGCACGGGTTTGAGTTTTAAAGACAAACATGCTCCTCGACATGCAAATCCCCCTCTAAACCATACATTCCTCTTGTGTGCTTTTCATATAGTGAAGTGACGCCACCTATCAAAGAACTCTTTATAATCTCTTGTGTTATAATTATGTCCCAGAACAACAGTTTACAGGCATACATTTAAATAAAGTATCTGCAAACATATGTATAATGTCAGAACACGCTGCATATGTGGACACAGCTGTCATTGGGTCAAATTTTAGCAATAAATTATTGAAATGACTTCATACCAGAGAAAAGAAAAGCACAGGCGTGATTACTGACATCATTGTTTACCTTTAAACCATACAAGAAGAAGAGAAGCTCTCATCAGTCCATGTGCAGACTTATTACATCGAGGCAGAGCATAGTTAACCATCTCATCGAGAGTCAGTGAAACTAGTCTTCTGTCCTGCACCACAACTTTAAAGTCAACACAATCACCAACAACATAAAATGGATATCTGCTTTCCCCCCCACTTATTTTGGGGACCCCTTACATGGTACCAAATGTGCTGGTTGCCCCCACCTAGGGGTCAGGTAATCAAGTGGAAGAAATGCAGATTTAGAATATTTGTCACCGTTTACCTAAGTTTACTACTCTGAAATGAATGCTCAATATCAATATAATACATATCTGTATGATAGACAAAAAAACAATGCTCCCAGCTTGGAATACATAGTACATTATTTACATGAGACATATAGGCTGAGCTGCTCGAGTAGTCCAAGAGAGAGTACTATAACAAAACAGAAAATGTCCACATTATTTTTGCCTTTTTTTCAAACAAATATAAATAAATAAATGATTTCCATGTTAATCAATATTGCCTTCCTGTTTTCCCAGAAGTCCTATCAGAGTGAGGTTTATTGTGGTGCAGTTCACATGGCTACAGGAGGTTTTCTGTAGCATGGTGAACTCAATGGATTGCTGAGGGTTTTCTGTGATACCTGAAGGTTGTTGTTATTTAAAACTGAAGGCCCAGTGAAGATGACGATGTGACCTGACTGATGAAGGCTGCTATGAGTTCATTCGGTGGGTTCTGTTAGATTACCAACAAATCATCCCATGAGATTCTCTCCCAAAAAAGGGGATCATCCAGAATCTGAGAGACAGCAAGGTTTCCCCAGGACCAACTGAACTTCCAATGAATTTCCTTCAAAAATGTACGTAAAGCAAACAGGTTGATAAATTAATTGTGAGTCATTTCTGTAGAAACTCCTATAAGCTTTATTGGGGATACCTTTAAGGGTGGCCAGATGGATGTTTTACATTCTCTGGCTTCATTTTAAGGACCAGAATGGTTGCTGTCACATTCTACCAGAGTTTTACATTCAACCATAAAATCTTAATGCCTAAAATCTATCTCATGTGTGGCCTCCATAATAGCCTCAACAATAACCAGTTGTAAAATGTGTCATTAATAAACAAAAAAGGCCTGTTTTTAAACTGTCTTGCAATACTTTGAAGTTTGTTAAAATAAGACAGTGTACATGATATCCAGATGTTCCATGACTCGTTTAGTCGAAAAGTAGCTACAGTTTAGTGGCGAAACAATCTACTAGCAAGAGAGAAACAAACACCAAAGCACATCAACGTAGAGGTTGACGCATACGGATATTTTGCTCTTAGCCTGTTGTGATCACCCTGCCTGAGAATGTTCCGTATTTGATTCAGTGACTCCTTAAGGGTGAATACTTCCTCAGAAAATGACTATCAAACAAGCCAGTTCTGTTCAGGACCAGACAGGCTCACCTGAGACAGGTTAAAAAAGTTCCATTAGAGCCCGCAGTATGAAACTCCTTTTACATCCAAAAAAGGGGGTAGGTCTTATCTTTGTTTTACATTTGATCTGAGAGTCCAAAGAGTGCAAGCAATACAAGATTTCCTAAAATTTACAAAATTGGGATCATTCCAATGAAAAGCATCCCTTAAACTCACTTTATTTCAGCCTTCTCAATCATCCATTTAGCACCACACAGTCCAGTTCAGTTTGGTTTCAGAGCAGCAATGTCATACGTCTCCAGAGACACCGCAGGCAAGCTCCACGCACAAAAAACCATGAAAATGCAGATCATCAGGTGCAGATCCGTAAAACACTGGGTTCCCTCATCTGCAGAAAGTGCTTAGCCGTTCTAGGTCCAACAATTCTTTGATAACATGCTAGGTCCATTTCTTGTTTTTTTCCTTCTTGTTTTTAGGTCAGAGCACGTATGAATGTTTAGATGTGTTTACATGCGTGTACATATGCATCAGATGTTTACAGGAGAGTTGGTGTTGTTCATGTGGACTCTCATCTCCTGAATACTTGTGATAATTTTTTTCTGGTGTCCAGCCAAGTTCACTCCTACTCTTCTCAGATCCCTGAAAACAAGCAAACAAAAACATTTTTATGCAGGAAAATTGCGACAAGTGTGTGTTTTTACGTGTTGTTTTTGCTTTTTATTTTTATAAAACATCTACACAAAAACACATATTTTAAATGTTTCAGAGAAATGGTGTCACAGCAGTTTTGTAATGATTTGCTATTGTTATATATCAATAGATAATCTCTCACTGGCCACTTTATTAGGTGAACCTTATTAGTACAGGGTTGACCTTGCAGGAAAGGCTTGTCAAAAACGTGTTGCCAACATTTCTTAGAGATTCTGGTCCATAGGGACATGGTAACACCACACAGCTGCTGCAGATTTGCCAGCTACACATCCATGATGTGAATCTTCAGAACTGGATTCAAATAGGGTGACTATGAAGGTGGTTGGAGTCCAGTGAACATGACATATTGCCATGTTCAAGAAACCAGTTAGAGGTGATCTGAGATCTGTGACATGATGCACTATCCTGCTGGAAATAGCCATCAGGATATGGGTCTACTGCGGTCACAAAGGGATGAAGATGGTCAGCATCAACACTCAGGTAGGCTGTGTTGTTTAAACCAGGCTTAGTTGGTGAAAATTAGTTGGCTCTAATTTCCCTATGGGATTAATGAAGTATTTTTGAATTGAATTTGAATTGAAGAGAGAGCTGAGCCAGAAGACAAAGCTCTCGGTTCACTGGTCGATCTACATTCCTACCCTCACCTATGGTCACGAGCTTTGGGTAGTGACCGAAAGAAAGAGTTTGCGGATACAAGCGGCTGAAATGAGTTTTCTCTGCAGGGTGGCTGGGCTCTCCCTGAGAGATAGGGTGAGAAGCTCAGTCATCTGGGAGGGGCTCGAAGTAGATCTGCTGCTCCTCCACATCAAGAGGAGCAAGTTGAGGTGGCTCAGGGTTAGGATGCCTCCTGGTGAGGTTTTCTGGTCACGTCCAGCTGGGAGGAGACCTAAAGGAAGACCCAGAACACGCTGGAGGGACTATCTTCGGAATGTCTTGAGCTTTCCTCAAATAAGTCGACCCAAGTAGTTGGGTAGAGGGAAGTCTGGCCCTCTCTGCTCAGATTGCTGCCCCATGACACAACCCCAGATAAGTGGAGGAAAAAGGATAAATAGATGGATAATGGATAGTTGGTACAAAGGGATCCAGAATGAGCCACAAAACAACATGAGAAACAACAAACTTCACATTTTTTAACGTTCGATTTACCTGTCCTCAGCTGACTAATGTGGTATTTAATGTGTTCTTCTGTTTCAAGGTTCAAAGTGTTGTGTACTCAGAAATGGTTTTATGCAGACCTTAGTTACAAATAGTGGTGATTTCAGCTACTATTGCCCTTTAATCATCTCAAACCAGTCTGCTCGTTTTCCGCTGAGCTTTGACATGTATAAGACCTTTCCCTCAACACTTCTCACTGGATACCGGATGGTTAGCTCTGTGTAAAAATCTCAGTAAATCTGCTTTTGCTAACACACTCAGAACAGCCTGACAGGCACCAACAACCATGCAACATTCAAAGTCACTTAAATCCCCCTTTTCTTCCCAATTCTGATGCTCAGCATCATCCTCAACAAATCCAGCTGACTAAATACATTCAGTAGCTGGCTGAACAGGTATACCTAATAAAGTGGCTGGTAAGTAAATATTGATTAAAATGACAAAAATAGTGCAATGCAAAACCAAATGCCACCCTCTAAACATATACTTACTCTGATGTCATCTGAGTCACCATTTCCAGCGAGGAGTATCCTCCCTCCACGAAGAGTTCTGTGTAGCGGCCCATCTTGATGGAGTCGAGCCACTCTCCAACCGACTTTGTTCGAGCGCTGCAGTCCCCCTCTGCACTGGCATGCTCCACTAACAAGTTGGAAACTCTAATACACAGATGGAGGAAATAAAATTAATTTAAATTGAAATCATTGTATTTGTTAGAAACGTAATGTAATCAGGGCTCATACACTAAGCTGTACCAGAATCCTTTAAAAACCAACTTTGACTGGCATACAGTGACACAATTAGACTAAATAATACATTTTACATATGCATGATAAAACAAATGAGATGGACCCATTTTAGGTTTTATTTCCAACACCGGAACTCTGCAGTTCTGTCACTCACTCGCGAGGTTTCACTGGTAATGTTACTTATGCACGATCACGCAAAGCTGCAAACACTTTTCACCCAAAACTCTTTGTCATTCAGCTCACTCTTCACGCTGACAAATGGGTCTCCCCATGCTATCAAATGAGATATTCACAGTAGGTAACAGCATTTTCCATGGTGCAGCAGGAACAAAAGTGTAGCGTGGAAAAAAGGTCTGGGCTTGTTGGTGTCCCTTTAATCTCGACAGCTGTCACATGTCATCGCCAGCCTATTAGATATGCCACCAATTTATTAAGCTAGCTTCCTTTTTGTGTGAGTAGGAAGCAATACATGTCATAAAAACATAGTAAATGATCTTAGCAAATATTAAAAAAGCATGACAAGATACTGCACATCACTAAGTGACTTTAAAAAGCGATGCATGAACACACACACTGGAAGAAAATAGTAATTGAAGATACAAATGATAGAAAATGACATATGACTAAACTGAACATCTTCATAAAAAATGAGCCATTTTCTTTACTTTTTAATATTCCTTTTGCTGAAATTCTGTGATTTTAACCTTTTTTTGACTACTGTAATTTGAAAAATTCATCTGAAGAATTAGGGCTGAACGATATGGCCTAAAATTAATATCATGATATATTGAGGATTTCACCTCGATAACAATAAACGGACGATAACTACAGGTATGCACAGAAACAAAAGTTGTCCTCCAGATGGGGCTTTCACATTACGTTGTCACGTTTTTACGTGACTCAAGGTGGTACAGCTTCCTAAAGGGACATGAATGTTGCCAACCTACACACATCTTTTCATTTTTTTATTATCAAATTTATCGACATGGCAAAAATGACCTTGATAAGAGTCAGAAATTTCGATAACAATACATTTTTGATCTATTGTCCAGCCCCACGAAGAATAATTTGTTTCCAAACATTTCTAAATATATTTAGCAACCACATGATGCTGAGATTATCTTTCAAAGCCAACCCATTTATTGGCTGCTATTTTTTAAGTCTCAAACTAATAAATGATGGCTAATAAATGCATCTATATACATAATATGCTGCGATGGACATTCTGCTTTTACCTGTGAGATGAGTTCACCAACTTTTTTAAAGAGCTGGGGTTGCGAATAAGTTTGTCAAGAAGACAAACAATCTCATCAAACTTAGGGCGGTTGGTGCGTTCACGCTGCCAGCAGTCCATCATTAGATGGTACAGCGCCTCTGGGCAGTCCATGGGACCTGGCAACCTGTAGTTCTCCTCCACTGCTTTGATTACCTGCAGACATATGGAGGGGAAAAGGAAAGGTTAGATGGGGTTAATTTAGAATGCAGCCATCATCAGAGTCTATTGTCTAAGAGGGGACTCACGTTTGCAGGAAAAAGACACAAAAGTCACACCAAACACTGTATTTATGGAAAAAATATACAGATGCTACACATCATGAGTGATCTCTCTCTGCTTCCTGCCTCTTTTGGCACAAAATGTTGACGTCTGTCACACGTCAAAGTAAAAGTCACATGGCATGTGACATGAGCAGTCAGACTGAGGTTAACAACCTATCACAGGTGACCTGGGTTAGCTTTAAAACTATTTGTGCTGTTATTAAATGCTAATATGGAAAAAAAGTTGGACCACTTGACCACGGTTTCCTTCAGTTACAGCTTAAGAGACACCATTAAATACATTTTATTATTTAATCCAAACCCTGTACTGAACCATGACCTTAAAAACCACCATTTTCCTCCGATAATTGGTGAAAGCAAGGTCCCCTTCAATTTGAGAACATCAAACAATATTGCAAACTTTCTAAGCTACACTTTTTTTTTGCTAAATGTAGTTTAAACAATCACTTCTGAGATCCTCTGCGCATAATCCAGTCACCAGTTGGTGATCCACAGCAAAGAACAATGACATGAAAAAAGCAAAAAGAAGGCTGGAGCACTCAAAGTGATAAAACATTTAAATATTTGTCACTTTGAGTGCTCCAGCCTTCTTTTTGCTTTTTTTCCCCCACATAGTTTAAACAATATTTAATAAATTATAAAAGAAAATGCTAAAACCTGCCATAAAAACTAGTGTATAATGTTAAACGAGTCCTTATAAAACAGGATCATTTTCTTTCACGTACAGTCACCTGATCTGGCCGCGAGGATGCCGTCATATTTTCTAGCACAGATTAAATTTTGAGAAATAAATAGAGAGGACACAACATCTTGTAATACTGAAAAAGTAATGACATTTCCACAGTAGGACAGTGACACGCTTCACAAAGGCAATGCTTCTCTGAAATTGCCTTTTTCTGAGCAAGATCCTGAGTAGAGATACTTGCTCAAGAGACGTGTCTGCTTTCTATCTGACCTTAAACTCCATGAACCAGCAAGCAACCCCATGTGAGCATAAAGTAAAATACAAATACGTACTTAATCCAAAATGTGGCATAGCCCAGTTAATCGTTTCTGCAAGTAAGAAGATGCAGCACCGTATCATTGGGATGTTTATTTATTTATTTATTTTTTGAAGGGAACTCAGTTGGATGAATAATAAATAAACCCTCGCTCTTTCTGTTAGACCCTGCAGTGGAAAGCGGGCTGGAGTGTTCAGCCTTGCTTTGCCAGTGCAGGACAGTGGGGAATTGATTTGTTGAGTTTATAACCCCCTTTCCTTTGGCTAAATTTACACAAAAGACTAATGCGATAGCACTCTGATACACACGGAGAGCATGCATACACTCCAACTAAAGCACAGGGGGAAAGCCACACATCAAATCATTGCTACCGACTGGGAGGGGGAAGAAGTACACTTAGCAACACTGGCGGGAAGGAAAGATCAGAGACCAAGGAGCGCGAAAGAAAGAGAGGCTGGATGGAAAACAAGATAGAATAGTAACAGAGATTGTATTTTATAGACAAGAGAGGACTAGAGTAAAAAGTGAGAGGGAGAGAAAGGGAAACGGAAGGAGACAGCTTAGAGAAAGAACGTTGCAGCCTACACTTTCTTGTGCAGATCAGAGAAAATCCTGCATAACGCTTTCAATTAAACATCAAACGTTTTCCCCTCTCCTTCCCACTCATCCTCATCTTCTTTCCTCTCCTACCGTTCTCTAGTCTTTGAGGCAGACAGCTAATATCCAAAAGGAGGGAGGAGTCTGAGACAGGGGATGAAGAGGTCACACAGGGGCTGTGAACACATATGTTGCCTACATGAGTGTGTGGGCAGCTGGCAAGTGAGAGTACATGTGTGATGTTGTCCAACTCAAACGTTGCATGTCTACTTCTATACAGTTTTGAAAATAGAAATGATGCACATCAAGCAAGCAGTTTCACAAGAGTTTTAAAAATAAACTTACATCTTGATTTGACATCTCCCAGTAGGGTCTCTCTCCATACGACATCACTTCCCACATAACAATCCCGTAACTCCACACATCGCTAGCTGAAGTGAACTTCCTGTACGCAATTGCCTCAGGAGCTGTCCAGCGAATAGGAATCTTACCACCCTGTAAATAATTGTATGATTTTTTTATTGGAAAGTTTTTTTATATAGCACCTGTCACAGAAAAAGGCAAAAGTACCTCAGAACGACAAAAATTATAACATGATTAAAGACAAAAACAATATAAAGATCCAGATAAAGATTACTAAACAAATGAAAACACAAATAAATAGACAATCAAAATACCAGTTTGACACTTAAAGCAACACCATTGAAATATTTAACCTTAAAACAGCCACACGTTGATGCATTTCCAACTGTTGGCCATTTGTACTGAAATGTCTCAAGAAGTACCAAGAGCACTGATCAGCAGATTAGGGCAAATGAGGACAAAAGCCCACAAAAGGGACTGATTCAAGGATTTCTAGCTACAAAAATTCAACCTTTCATTTTTTTCTAAATTTAGAAAACGTGCACATTCCCAAGTTGCTAACAAAAGCTAGTATTTCACTGGGCTGCAACTGCTGGTAACACATTTAAAATAGTACTCTTGATGGAAGTTCAAAAACGTCTCATGCTGTTTAGAAGGATTCAATATTTTATTTTAATGTTTTCGCTCATGTTTGAATATCATTTTAAAGATTTAAAAATCTTTCAGTGGAAAAATTCCTCTCAAACTGTGGGCATCCAGGTCCTGTTTCAAAATCAGCTCATTTTAGTTTTGTCATTGATTCCCAGAATTGAAAAATGATCAGGCGACAGCACCATGAAATACAATTAGGAAATTAAGAAACTTCGTGACAAAGCTGCAACAAGAAAATACAACCGTTACTAGACTGGCAGTTTGTTTACAATCACGTCCCACGTCACCCTGCCATTTATGGCGCTTATCACAAAAGTCTAGTACATATCTATTCAGTTTGAGTCCACAAGCTGAAAATTTCCATACTTTCTTGCTATGTTGAGTCCCTGAATTGGGAGGTCACTAATGCTTACTTTTTAACTGTTGCAATAAACTTAATGCTAATGCTTTGCAGCCACAACGTTGTGCAGAAAACTGACGTACACTCACTGGGTTAATGATGTTGTGTCACATTCCTTTAGAGAGGGTTAGGCACGGACTGAGGGGCTCAGTGAGCACGTTTGGTGCAGTAGGGTCTTCATTTATATTTTATTGATGTTCCCCCTGCTAATTTTTGTGATTGTAATTTATTTATCTTTTATGGATTGGTATTTGTGTTTTGATTTGCTGTTGTTTTGAAGCCTGTGTCTTGTTTATCTTTTTGAGTTTGATCCGGTGTGGCGGGGGTTGATGTGAGTCATCGGTTCTGTTCTGAAAACGTTTAAAATCTTAATAAAGAAACACTGTTCAAAAACATTGGCGCAGAAAATTACATGTCAGCAAGTTCACTATAAAACCATTTTTAATTATATGCTGATTGTGTATTACAGATCGGTTACCACTTAATGTCTAAACCCATTTATTAAAATAATCACACAGACTCTGTAACAGGCACACTTGGACGTTTTGGCTTGCTTTTAGCACCCCTAGTGTCTGTTTAGTAGAACCAAAAGCAAAACTAATTTTCTTGCTGTGCGTTCATCTTTTTAACACCTTAATCAGAAAGCTGAAGTGTCTCCCAGCCTTTATTAGTGTCTACAGGAGTGAGTCATTACTAAATTAATCCAATCAGCTGTGTTGATGATTTAAAACATGCAAGAAAGGTGCTGGAAATAGACCGCAGTACCTGGTATGTCAGCTCCATTTCTTTTTAAGTCCAACTGACCGGGTCAGCGCTCTGAAGTTGCAAATGCAATATTCTGGCCACAGAAGGTGGTAGAGGTCTGAGTCACATTTAATTAACCCTGTAACTAATCATTTAGTACATACAGGCTCAAGAAAATGATCTCAAAATATTAAAAAAAAGTTGCATAGTATCCTTTTAAATGTTGATTCTCTTAGCTTATGTAAATAAAAATGTAAATTCCACTGGTGGTCACCACCAGTTGTGGACTTTTGACATAGACTTCATCAGAAGCAAGCAAAAAAAAAAAAAAAAAAAAAAAAAAAAAAAATATATATATATATATATATATATATATCAGGGTATCTGCAGGTTTAGGGGAACCTAATTTAAGACTTTTTAAGATCTTTTTTTAAGGCCACTTTGCTATTTAAGTAGGGCAGCAGTAGCTCAACAGGTTGAGCGGGTTGTCCAGTAATCGCAAGGTTGCAGGTTCGATCCCGGCTCCGGACAGATAATTCTGCTGTTGTGTCCTTGGGCAAGACACTTAACCCACCTTGCCTGCTGGTGGTGGTCGGAGGGACCGGTGGCGCCAGTACTCGGAAGCCTCGACTCTGTCAGTGCGCCCCAGGGCAGCTGTGGCTACATCGTAGCTCATCACCATCAGTGTGTGAATGTGTGTGCGAATGTATCAATGATACACTGTAGTGTAAAGCACTTTGGGGTGCTTACTCTGAGAGGCACTATACAAGTACGGGTCATTTATCATTTTGAAAAATTAAATTTAAGGTATAATTTCCAGCTATTGCCTGGAACCGGTGCTAACCACGCAGCGATCGTGGGATTAGACATCCAGTTACCATTAAACTTGCACTTCCCCATGGCGCAAACTCCCACTAGCTTAACCAGCTAACGTGCTCATCTAAAAATAGCCCCCTTACACAACCAACGTAATGTGTACGGTTCTGCTTATGCCAATATCATGAACAAAAAATGCTGAACACTAACTAGAAATTCACGAAAATTTTATAGAAATAAAAGAATCTTGTTTATTCAGTCTTTGGTAATTTAAGACCTCTGGAAACTGTATTTAAGGATTATTTGTCAATTTTAAGGATTTTTAAGGCCTTAAATTTGGAAAAGCTAATTTAAGACTTATTAAGACTTTTTAAGGACCCGCGGATACCCTGTATATATATATATATATATATATATATATATATATATATATATATATATAATAAAATCAAGCTGACCATTCCTTTGTTGTCAAATAAAAAAATGAAGAATAAAATATAAATAAATACCTGAAATTTCCTTAAGCTAAATTGGACTACACAAAGAGGAAAGATGAGATGTGCTTTTATCGGACTTTAGTTTCACACTGAGGAAACAATGTTTTGCTGCTGTTGGAAATAAGGCTCAGTAACATATTTGGCTCCAATAAGGCCAGAACTTCAGCTCAGAAAGAACAAAACAAACACAAACAAACTATTTCCAACAGCACTGGAGTATCTTATATTGAGTTATTGTCCCTGAACACCTAGTGGTGCTGCATTTATTTGATATTCAGCTGTTTTGGCAAAATTCACCTTGTTTTGTCTTCCTGTTTTACTTAGCAAATCCAGAATCAAACACATGTCCTACATTGCCATCATTAAACATTACAATTCAGATGCTATAAGATCATGAACTCATGAAGGTTTTCTGGATGATTGAGGTGTCTGCTGTGAGTGGGGCAAAAGAAAAAAAAACATTATGTTGATGATAGCAACAAGATCTTTTATTACACCTCCTCTAGAAAAACTCATAACACATTAGTTAGGTGGTCAGGGGCGGCGGCGGCCGGGGCGCTCCCCGGGTAGTGCCCGGGCACTGGTGGGGGTTTCTGCCCTACGCCACTGGGCGTCATGGGCCGGTGTCTTGGCTGCTGCCGTGGATCTGTTGCTGCCAGGGCAGATGGCTCCGCTGATGATGTGTCGTTCATTACCTGACCCATCTGAACTCAGCCTATTGTTTACTCTGGTGTTCACGAGTGTGTGTGTGTGTGTGTGTGTGTGTGTGCATGGATGAGTATGCGGGTGATTGTATGTCCACTTTTGGAAGTTGGGTGCGGGAGGGGAACTGTAATTTTTAATTGTTTTATACTTGGGGAGGGGGGCTGGGATGGGAATGTGGGATCTATGGGGCCATTTTAATCTGTAAAGCACTTTGAGTTGCATTTTTTTTTGTATGAAAAGTGCTATATAAATAAAGTTGATTTGATGATTGATTTGATTTGATTAGTGGTGTGCATCTCTACCTGCCTCACGATTCGATCACATTCCGATTATCTGCCTAAAGATTCGATTTGAGTCTGAAATGCATCACGATTCTTCACACAAAATTTTTCATTACTTAATAAAAGCAGTAGAATAGTTTTCAATTTCTTTTTTTATTTCGATATCCCTGAAAAACAGAACATACATCTATTCACTATACTGAGCAGCAATTTTCAAAGTGTGCTGCCTATAATTACTTAAATAGTATAAGAAATAATGTTTTCTGTAGAGCAGCTTTAAGATAGAATACAACTGAACGTAAAATAGTAAACAAATACTGTGTTAAGTTATTCTTTCACATCCAGGATCCCAAAACCGAAATTAGCCCAGACATCCGATTTAAATGTAACGGGTACATCTTTGATTACTGGTAATGTTCGTCCTGTATCCCTGTCCGCCATTTCTGTTTTAAATTGGCGCTAGGGCAACGCAGTGCGCATGTCATTGCAGCTCTGCTCTCAGAATTAGTTGTAAAACCTCAAAACTTAGGGAGAAAATCTCATTATGTCACGTTGCTGCATCGATGCAGAATGATGCATGGCTGAATCGTGATGCATCTTAGAATCGATCATTTTTCCCACCTCTATAACACATAAACCTTGTTTTATTTATCAGCCATAGAGACTGGTATTGATGCTACGAGCAAATATTACAGAACTTTCAACATTTGCTCTACATTAATTTTAACAATTCCAACATGCCTACAAAAAAGTTTAGGAGTGCACTGGTTGCACAGGATAGAGTGATAAACACAGCTGCAGACACAAATAAAAGGATCACTGCATGAAGACGAAATTCGAGAATAAATTTTAATTAAAACACTTCTCATGCTAATAAAAACTGATTTAGAAGCACAGTTGCAGTAACAAGCTTTACTTTCTTGTACAAAATCCCCATCCAAGCTGTCAAGGGTTTGGGATTACTCTACTCATCTTCCTTCATTAAACCGCTTTGTTTGCAAAAAGGAAAATAGTTTACAGGGAGACCACTGATGAGTCGTGAAATGAACTTGATGCAGTATTGATGAATACAGCAGCAGGGTATCTTTAGATCTGATTATTTCAAGGGTGTGAATTGTGTTATTATCATATGTCAGGGGAAGGAGATCCTGATAACAATAGGGGGAAAGAGGCGAAGAAGGGATGCAAACTGGCAATGAGAGGTGAGTGACAGGGTATTTGGCGAGAAGGCCGAGAGACTTGGTGCTAATTGAGTGTTGTGGAGACTGAGTCATGTACTAATTGGCTGACAGCACGACACTCAGCCAAGGATACACAGCTCAATTTAAAGCCTGCTGCTGTCACTGTTTGAGTGCACATGCACACACACACATTTTGTTTTGTTGTGCCAGAGTTTCTAATGTAAGCCGAAGTTTGACAGAACTGTTGCAGTCACAATAAAAATCTAAGGTAGAAACAATAAATCAGCAAAAAGGAATATCGAGTCTCAAACAATTTATATATTTGAGGAGAATTAATCTTAACTCTAATTTCCAATCCAAGAAAGGGACACTTTTTATTTGTTTGGAGCAATTATTATTATAACATTAATATTAACCTAATGCAATGCACTGTAATATTGCCTAACTTTTTATTCAATCATCTGCCATCTTTTTCTGTTAGATTTTGTGGATGTTTTAAAAAGATTTAGGGACTAAAACATAGTCCAGCAGACAGTTGACCTGTCAATGAAGGGGATAAAAAACAAAAACAAACTAAAGCTATTCAGATTCTCATTCACATTTTTTTTTATAATGAACAACCAAAAACAGATTAAATATAATAATAATAATAATAATAATAATAATAATAATAATAATAATAATAATAATAATAATAATAATAATAATAATAATAATGAGATAATTTGTGGTCTTACCCTTGTGGTATATGCAGCCTCTGCATCATCTTCCAAAACTCGAGAGAGACCGAAATCAGACACTTTACACACAAGGTTACTGTTGACAAGGATATTCCGTGCTGCAAGATCACGGTGGACGTAGCCCATGTCCGACAGGTATCTAAAGGTCAAGACAAAGATGATTATAAATAACAAGCATATGTTTAATAACTTGATGTGAATTAGGATTAGGTTTACCTCATGCCAGATGCAATGCCCCGCAGCATACCAACCAGCTGGATTACTGTAAACTGGCCATCATTTTTCTAGGAAAACATCAAAAAGTTGATATTTAATTACTTTAAATGATTATATCTTTATGTAAATAATTATAATATTAAGCCAATTAAAAAACTTCTAATGGTTAAAGAAAAACCAAGACAAGATGAGAAGTTAGTAGTATGTTTTAGATGTGACACTAGTTCGACTTAGATGTGCATCTAGGTTGAACTAGGTTGATCTAAAGTAATAAACGTTGCACTTTTATTCTAGTTTACATGTACGGTAGAAAACCAAAATTTTAAACAAAGTGCATTCCACCCTGATGCAGTAGGTGGCGACATGTGCCCTTTCATGTCTGCATTTTTCCGGTTAGCTTATCCACCTTATTTTTCAAGTTTTTTTATGGAGAAACGATGATGTAAGCAACATCTGGTGAGATGTCGGAACTAGCACATACCCATTCGTTTACATGGTGAGGTATTGTTGCCAGTAGCGATTTATTTGAACATTTTAAGAGGATTTTAAGAATTATGCACCCCCAAAAAATGTACTCTCGGGAAGATGTCAGGCTTATCGCGGTTGTACAAACAAGAGAAAATTAAAGCTGCAAGCAGCGTCGTTCGACCCTCGCAGCTCCGCGCCTGGTCGGCAGCAAGGATCACCCGGGCATGTCCGCGGAACAGACACGTCGACCACCCTGACACCAGGAACCGCAAACGGTCCCCTTGTCCGCACTTCACCCTGACTCAGCATCTTCTCTGAGCCCACCATTAAATTACACATCTCACCACTAGGGGATACTCTATCTTTACCACACTGGTGGTGTTGTGACACAGACCAAAGTTAATGCTATTTTGACCACGATCTTTTTAAGTTATCGAAGGTTAAAGTTATCTAGGGGCACTGTGACCAACTACAGAAAAATCCAATTGTGGTCAGCTGTGGTTGACAAAGATGGTTTTCTGTTATTTTGGCATTAATCACATGTCATGTGTGTAATCTAGAGCCAGAGAGCTGAAAGGGGGTGGAGCTAAAGGGATTTGAACCAACAACCACATCAATGTGTTTGGTGCAGTCACGTGATGACACAAGCCAAGTATAATGCCATTCTGACCTTGTCTTTAGAAGTTGATAAAGTTTAAACCCATCTAGGGGGCGCTGTGACCATTTACAACACATACAAGTGTTGATTGCAGTTGTGTGATGACTCCCACCAAGTTTGATATAGTTTGGAGCTTTTTTGCAGAAGTTAAAAAGGTTTTATTGTATCTAGGGGGCACTGTCCCAAATTTAATAAATATTCCATGAAGAAGTTTGTAGGTTGATAACAGTCAATTGTGTGCAGTTTGGTGTAAGTTGCATCATGCATGTGTTATTCAGGGCCTAATATCTGTCAGCGGGCGGAGCTTAAGCAATATCAACTAATTACCACAGGATTGTGTTGGGTGCCTTTGTGTGATGACACATAGCAAGTTTGGTGCAGTTACGACCTCGTCTGTAGGAGTTACTACAATTTTAAAGGTATTTAGGGGTGCTGGGGTTATATTATATAACGTTCATCAACCGTTTGTGCCTCGTTGGCTAAAGGGCAAGATTGTTCATTGCCATGTTCAGTCTCGGGCAGATCGGAGGCTGTTTGTGGAAATTAAAGTCACGGCGTCACGCCAGAATTTGCCATGGCATCAAAGCCCCTCCCTATCTGGAAGGCTATCAGATCTGAATGGTCATTACAGCATCATGAGGACCTTAGTGTCATGTTGACTAAATTAGAGGGGACAAATATGGGCATTTCACCATAAAACAATAGACTTCCTGTAGTCAGGGGGCGGGGCTTGGGTGATGTCAGCTGTCCACATTGTCATTGTCTTCAGATGTGGTCAGTGACCACACAGACAAAGTTTGATATCGATCTGACCATGCACATGAGAGTTATTAAGTCAAGTAATGTAATGGCGAAAGGTCAGTTTGAGGCTTAGCCACGCCCACACCTTTCAACTTTTGAAAAATCCGACAGTTGAAAATGTCCCCCCATGTCTTAAGAGTATGTAGCAGAAGTTTGAAGGCAATTGGTGAAAAGGATGACGGGGCTTCATTCTCCAAACAATGTGTGTGAAAACCACTAAATCGAGTACTTGGATCAAAATGACCGACCTCCTGTGCGACTTTGCGCTTGGCTCCAAGAGACTTTTTTGTAGGTCCTGAGACACTACATTAGTATACCAAATTTCGTAATCCCCAGTCAAAGCATGGCTTGGGGCTGACAGTTTTAATGGCTCTAGGGGATGCTATTTCAGAAAATAGGCCACGCCCACCGGATTTTCACATCAGATTTTTTGGGGGCTGGACTAGGATCACTCACCACAAGTTTTGTGGCGATACCTTTAGAAATGACGAAATGGGAGGCAAACGTAAGGCCACGGCGGTACGCCTGACTTCGCAGCGCCGGCACAGCCCCGCCCTCTGCAGAAAACTCCCATAAAGTGACGCCAAGCAACCCCCACTTGTCTTGAGTTACCAGCTACAAATTTGTGGTCATTAAGTGAAATGGGGAGACTTGGGACCTATCACAGTAAAACTTGACCTTTTTGGTCCTGAGGGGGAGGGGCTTGTGTGATATCAGCATCCGACCATTTAGTTTAGTTTGTGGGTGGATGACGAATGACTACAGCAATTTTTGTAACTCTCTTCCATTCAGTTATGAAGTTATAGCAATTTATATTTTTTTGGAGAGTAGTCAAACTTCGAGGCCTGGCCCCGCCCCTTCAACATATACGAAAACTCAGAATCCTTGTCTCATTTTGTTTGCCCATCCCTTCTGAGCAATTTTACACAATTTTTGAGATGATCGTGCAAAAAATGATCGAGCAATCCAATCAGAAACGGACCCTAAAAACGGCCAAAACGGCAAAAAAAATCGCCATTTCAACCCAAAATGGCCGACTTCCTGTTTGATATTGACCATGGTTACAAGAGACTTTTCTGTGCAGACTGTTGAATACTACAAGTGTACAAAATTTCATAACTGTACGATAAACTAAGCTTTATGGAGAGGGGTATTTTTCACCTTGTAGGGGGCGCTGTTCAGCCATTTTCTTTGCGATTTTTTTGGGACCTTTAAAATATCAAATTTTTCACCAGGCCTGACAAGTTTGCAAAATATTGTGAGTTTTGGGGTATGAGTCCCCAAAAAGCCGTTCAAAGCGGGCTAAGAGTAACAAAAAAATAAACGGAGGAAAAACAAGAGGCTTTCGCAGCGCGGGCCTAATTACATTTTTGGCCACAAGAGAGATGTTTATAACATGCACCTTGGAAGGCAAGAGACAGTGTGGCTGCCAGCGTCGGTGCAGCTTTCACCGCCTCCCCGGAGATGAGCAACCCAGAGGGATGTGACTGAACAATCTTAACTTAGAAACCACCACAAACTTTGTGCATTCCTTTCATTTTGCTGCAAAAAAAAAAAAAATAACTAAAAAAACTTAGAAAGGAACACCCACTTCCTACTTTGTTGTTGGATATGACAAACCACCAGAGCAGATAAGCCAGGTAGTAAAGAGATTTGCCTCTGAGCTTTTAAGTTTGTTACCTGCCTCGCTGTAGCTAAGATGCTACTCTATGTTAGCTTTGGCCAAATTTTGAGAACCCCCTGCACAGGCTGAAGGAGTGTAAGGGTAGCTGGAACAGCTGGGATCTCATTTATCAAACATTGCGTAGAATCCTTACTAAATTCGTACTTAAGCTCAGCAAAAAAATTGTACTTACGCCAAGCAGGTTTGATCTATCAAACATGGAGTACGCACAGCTGCACGCAATCTCCGCTTCATAAATCGGAGACTAACGAGAATATTTCTCAGCTGCATTTTAGTCACATCCCGCCCTCACCACGCCCACTTACTGCCGTAAATAGTCAATGCAAAGTGCCTTGTGGATCTCATGCATGTACATAAGCCGGCTGTTGCAGCGCTCCGCCAATGACATGGCGACCGTAGATCAAGGCAGATCAAGGAAGCACAATTTCACAGAAGCAGAAATTGAGGTACCTGTGGGTGAGGTGGAGAAATGAAAGGAAGTACTTTTGCAAAACAAATAAGAGAAAATCCACAGAGTGGCACAGCATTGCTGAAGCCATCAACGTTGTGAATTCTTCAGAGAGATCTGTGGCGGATATAAATAAAATGGTCCAGTCGGGATTCGATCCCCAGACTCCCAGGTGAAAGTCGCGCACTAACCAGTCAGCCAAACGGAGATCTCCCCTGTTCAACTAGCCTGGGCGCATGATCAATTGGGTCACAGTGACAGGACACTCACTGTCACAGACGAATGACATTCTGTCTCAATCTGTCCCCCTGCTGATATTCTGCATTCCGTATTCTGCGCTTCAGGCTGTGTGTGTGTGTGTGTGTACGCACGCGCGCGCACGTGTGTGGGGTCTTGTTCTGTGTGAAAACGAAGCAGTACAAGCGATAATGCTGCAGGATTTCATAATTTTATCCTTCTCAGCAGCAGCACTGTAGGTGCTCTCCATGTCCAAAATGTGCGTAAGCAAGGTCCTTAGTCAACTTAAAGTTGCGCACATTTTTCCGCTAAGTTTTCTTTGATAAATCCCAAAGTTTGCATGGAAAGTTGCTTTCGCAGTTTTCCGACCCCGCTTTGTGCCTAAGCAAGCTTGATAAATGAGGCCCCTGGTGTTAACGCATTTTCCGTTTTAAAAGCCCATAAAAGTAAGATTTGCACGAATGAATCACATTGTCTCAATGAAAACTAACGGGGACTGGAAGATTCTTTCATCTTTCGTGCAAAGCCCGGCAGGATGTAGGAATAGCATGGATAGCAAAGTAAAAACAGGATATGCACAATGGCTGAAGGAATGACACCAACGCCGCAGCACAGCTCAATTGGTACATCAGGTGCTGTTTGATGGTGTTACACGTTATTTTGTGGCGGTGATGATTCTGATGATTATCACAAGACTGCTTCCATGGTCTCGTAACTTCCAGAAGTTACCGGTATCAGCTCGATCGAGCCGTTTACATGAAGATGAAGTTGG